GGTGGAACTCGATGCCTTTTTTTTTCCCTCTTGACTTTTTTTTTTCTTTTCGGATTTGCGAGTGGAGGCGGGCGGTGGGGTGGGCGGTGAGGCGGGCTTCTATCCGGAGTGGGTGTTTAGTTGGAGGCATAGAGATAGACAGCTTCTGGAACCAGCATTTTGGCCGTTTTCGCTCTTTGGTACTGTTGGTATTTGGTTACTGGTTTGATGGAGGCTTGAATATTGTCTGTTCTGTTGAGATATCATCCCGCTCATGTCGTCCCTTCTCTCTTTCTTCGGTTGGGCTGTCCTCCCAAACGTGAGTACCGTGTCCATTCCCTCCGCAATTCTATAAGCGCCGTGTTGCGCAGTAGGAAATACACAGTCGTTAACAACACTCGCATCAGTATGTCACCTCCATCGTTCAGAGCGTCTACTATGGCATCACCATCCGTGCAGGCGAACCCCGCCCTCAGCCCGGCACTCCACGCTATGCGCGACACCGCCGGCGCATCTACATCCTCGTCGTGACCAGCTACCTCCTCTACACTCTCTACGAGACCTTCCATCGCGTACAAGTCGCAGGCGACTTCTACCGCGCTCTGGGTGTCTCTCCGTTTGCCGATGAACGCACTATCAAATCGCGCTTCCGTCGACTGGCTGCCCAGCACCACCCAGATAAGGCCGGCGGCGCCGTGTCCGACAGCTACTTCGTGTATCTGAGGCTGGCGCAGGATACGCTCCTCGACCCCGTGAAGCGGGTCGCGTATGATATGTACGGCCCGGACATGTTGAATTGGGGCGATAAGAGGACCCTGCAGGAGTTTGTGATGGCTGGGTTGCAGCGGTCTCTGCCGCAGTATGTGATCGGGTTGGTTACTATTGTGGTGCTGCAGTTTACGTATTGGTCGGAGTGGGGACGTTATGTGAGTATACCTGTTCTCATTTCTCGTACTTTGGAATGCGGTTCTTCGACTTGGGCTTGGGTTGTATGATGGCTAATGGTGGATTGCTTTCGTCTAGTGGCGCTACTTCACCTTCGCTGCGCTGGTTACCCTCGAGTCGATCCTACTTACACGTCCTACGGCATTACTACTCCCGTGGAGCTATATCCCCGCCGGGTTGCAGGGTGTGCTGGGCTTCTCGTCCAAGGGCCCCGAGTTCTATCTCCTGCCGTTTCAGATCCTGACGCTGGCCCAGCGTGCCTCGGTCACTCTGCACATCTTCATCTCGCAGGTCACGCCGCCGGAGATTAGTAAACGGGCGTCGTCTGCCCCGGGCGATCGTCTGCATCCGCAGACCATGCAGAAACTGGGTCAGCTGGCGCAGCTCTCTCGGGCCACGGATGGCGAAGCAACTCGGCTGCTGCAGTTGGGGTTTGCGCCGTTCAAGGGTGATCGTGAGGGCGTGACGGCGCTGCGGAAGGGCATGAAGGAGGCGCTGGTGCTGGGCAGTGTTCGGGCTAGTCCGGGAGTGCAGCAGGCGGTTGGGGAGGTGATTCGACGGAAGAAGCAGGGGAAGGCGGATTGAAGTGATGAAGTGAAGTGAAGTGAAGATATTATGTATTTTCTTTTTATTTTAGTAGTAGAACACATTTCTTTTCTTAGTTGAATATATTTAGTTCGAATGGAGTGATACAATAGTAGTATGATTGCTGTAATACTCCCTACATTCACCCGGTAGATTAATCTGAACGATGGTGGTGTCGATCTTACACAATAGTAGTAGTGAATTGGTGTCCGGCTTAGAATTCAGCCATGAGGCGATCAAAATGTTTAGCATCCTTATTGGCAGCTGCCGCAGTGAATGCGTGGCCTGTTTCACTCCCAGCAATCCAGCCTGCTACTATACATACTAATACTACTGTAGACATGTAGATACTACGTATATATATACGTGTGTCATTATTGTCAGATTCTGGAGTCTTAGTATAACATCTATACAAACAACCGTTCCAATACTGTTAACAAATAAATGCCAAAGATAGTTGGCCGTGGAATGGATTATGGCCAAGGCAAGGCAGCCTGGCCGATCGGGGCCAGATATGCTGGTTCACAGTTGAGGGATTTCATGGATTGAATCCCTTTAGTGCAGCGGTTGTTGTTACTAGTTGGTTGGTTGGTCGATTGATTGATTGATTGATTAATTGCTCCGAGCTTCCACCCTTCTTACCCCCTCTTTTCTTCCCTGCACTTTGTAGTAACTGAACCCCCCTGGATAGTGGCATTTTAGTGTACTCCGGATCCTTGTTAACTAGATACTTGGCCGGAGGGGGGAAAATATGTAGCTAGATTGTTACTAGTAAGTATAGTTGTTAGATTAGTTAGTAGATAGGTCAGTTGGTTTCTCAAATCAAAGAAAGTCGATTCCTTTTCCAGGATTTGGTTTGGTTTGGTTTCTTTCTTTCCTCTTCTATCCTGTACTGTATATACATTTTCCTTTCCCTCTTGGAAATAAGACTCAGCTGATGCACGATGCATGGTTTTTTAGTTCCAAAGTATGTAATGTATCTTAGTATCCTGCATCAGGTGTGCAAACGAATGGATCGATTGATCATCCATAGTAAACCACGTAACCTGAGAATAAAGAAAAATGCGAAACTAAAATTGATTTTTTGACCGCTTACGAATAAATGGGAAAAATTTAGTTCCAAGTGAAGGAAAAGGGAATAAGAAGGAAGGAAAGCCGGAAGCGGCTGCGGTTCGTTCGTTCTTTTTTGACCCAAAAGTCTAAGCGGCGCCAGGCGGGACGGGCGATCCATATTTTTTTTTCTCCCATTCCCTTTCCTTCATTTATTTTTGCACTTTCGTGATCAGGAGAGATGGGAGGAAGAGGGAAGAAGGGAGTGGGAGAGAGGACCGGACTGGGAAGAATATGGATGAGAGAATGTGGCTGGTAGTGAATGATTGAATGGGATTCTTGTATTCTGTTGGAGACTTATTTATATAAATAAGTATTGTTGTATTGTTGGTCTATTGAATGGTATCAGTGTATTCAAATAGTTGTTTAAGAAGTGAATAGCTGTAGTCATAACTCTCATAGAGAAATTGCAGTTCATGGTTTTCATGGTCTGAATGAGGGCATTCATACGGACATACGGCTCCGGATAAGTCCAGGAGATGATGTGATGCGCGTGGTATGGTACTGGTAACCGTCCAAATGGGGGTGTTTTTCAAGTGTTTCTGACCAGACAGGAACCGTTCGGTTGCTGGGTGTAGAGATGCAACTTGGCTAGCTACCACCATAGTAAAGTGCTTATCTACTAGAGAACAAGACGCGTATCAGACGGTATGAAGACGCGGCGGTAACGCGCCGGACCCAGTAAAATGGGGGATTTTCTCCGTAAAGTAAGTAAGTACGGAAAGGGCGGGCGGCGAAAGGGCAAGTCAGTAGGCAGTCGGAACTGACCTTCAGCTTCTCTCCTGGACTGACCGCACCAGAAAAGTCTGGCTTGTCGTTCCCTAGACGAGGAGCGTGAGAAACACACACACACCACAATGAAACCACCACTCGGCGCCTCGACATCCCCATCCATCCCTTTCTTCCCTTCCCCGTCTCCCTCCTTCTCTTCTCCTCTCCCTCCTTCCATCTTCCTCCCCCATCACCATCATCATCCTCACCCTCAACTCCACCTACACCACCACCGCCCTATCCTCACCACCGGAGTATGTCACCAGCGCCTCACGTCCACTGCCTCCCTCTTCAGCCCTGCCAGACTTTCGCCTCTCTCTGACCGAGTCTCGCCGCCGCCCACGACTAACACCACCACCACCACCATTCATCCGGTTCCCTTCCATCCCACCAACCAATCCCTCAACACCCACGTCACGATCGTCACTTAATTCTTCCACCTCCTCGCCCCAACTCAGTCTTGCGGCTTTATTAATCCTCACCCACCTCACCTTCGCCTACGTTTGGCTGTGGTCTCTGCCTAAGCAACCCGATCGGGGGGGTCCCTTCTCATCTTACTCTCTTCCCAACTCCTCTTCGCATCGTCTGAAGGGGCAACCCAACCTATCTCATCATCAATTCCAACAACGATCTCGACGTCGAGACGATCCACCATGCCGGCCGCCAGCTCTGCCAGCTCCACCGCAAACGGTCGCTCCAGCCGATCTGGACCTTCCAAAAGGATTGTTGTCCTCAAGCTGTCTACGGATCTGCTGAGCCAGTTCGTGACACCACCGCCCGAGGGAAAGGACAAGAAGAGCAAACGGGGTAGCGTCAGCAACACCGACTCGCCCGTCAAGATTCAGGAGCCTTCGTCCCCGGCTTCCTCGTCTGCCGAACTACCTCTCCCTCCTTCGTCCGTGGACAATGCCTCCGATGCTGCGTCCACCCCCGCCGCAGGCACCTCGGCTGCAGACACACCTCGCCGCAAGGGCGTTCCGGGCCCTAAGCCGGGCACCAAACGAGGCCTCAACCAGACGGGCGAGACCACTCCGAAGCCGAGAGGCAAGCCCGGTCCCAAGAAGAAGCCCCGACTGTATGTTCTCCAACCCGATCAATCGGTAATGGTGCATTTGCTAACTGTCTCTTAGTGATGACGGCACTGTCGACACTGCCAAGTTAGTGGCCGCTCACAAGCTCGGTCCCAAGGCCAACTTGGGTGCCATCAATGCTGGTCTACGCGCTCTAGATCGCACCGGGGCCCCATGCCGTCGCTGGGAGCGTAAGCCTCTTCAGCTCAAGAGCTTCACCGGTATTCAATGGATGCTGCCTTCTTGGCGTACTCCCCGTCCGTTGAAGTCCGAGGAGAACGACGAGGCTCAGGGCATGGCTCTTGAGACTGGCGACAGCGACAGCAAGGCCAACCAGAGTGCCAGTGGCGTCCCCAGCGAGAAGAGCACTGGTGATGGTGAACTTACTCCCGCTCCGCCCAACCTGACGGAAGCGTCTTCTCCTGCCATCGCCATGACTGCTTGAAGAATCATGCAACCGCTGTTGCTTCTTCCACCAACGACATATTGTCCTTCCTGTACATTACTTTTTGACACACTACTACCTTTATTTCTTTCGATGTTCCTGGTGATGGCTTTTCTGTTTCTGCACTTGCGTGTTGCTTGGGTTGGCGTTGGGTTTGACGGTTACCGGACTTTATCAGCGCTTCACTCGCATGAGAGACGTATTTGAGGCTCTGGCATGGGGACGTGGCGGTGCATCCTGCACATTTCATGGGCTCTTTCTCTGTGAGCTGCTTGCTTGCTTTCACTGCTCGGTTTGCTTTTACTATTTACCACTGTTCTGTATCAGTAGAGATTTCGCTTATGGGCTTGGACAAGGGGTTGAGGGAATTTTTCTTGTTTATCGGCGATTGGCCGCATATTCGAGACATGGATACCAAAATGGACTGGAATGGCAGCATTGTCTGCGTTGTCCCACATGGAATTGAAGGCCGATTGTGCACCTGAAGGGCCGCACGTGCTCACTATATTCATCTAGACTAGTAGCTGTCTTGTAGTCCGTAGATAACCGGAGGAATCACCATTCCATGACTACACGCTAGGAAAGCCTACTTCTCTAGGCTACGATCAAGGGATGCTTGCCTCCGTCGTTGCACTCTGGGATATATATTTAGGTGATACAGTGTGGCAGGAGCTGATGTTACATCCACGACGCCTAAGAAGCAAAGACGGGGGAGATTTCCGGTAGCCAAGACTGTCAGCATTCGTCGTGCTGCCTCCATCCCCCCGCCCAAAGAGTAGCAAAAGTCTTTAAGCTGTGGAGCAATAGACTTCGTATCCTAGCTACGGAGTGGGTATCTACTATACTGTATACTTACTGACGAATTCTCCCTGTCCAAGGATGTTTCCGGACGAAGGAAGAATAGTGGGTTGGACCGTCCCGGGGTGTGTGTTCCCCCCCATGGCGCCAGAGCCGGGGGTGATACACAGCCCTGGCATCATAATCCCGCCCAGTTCTAGTCTAGACATAACCAACATTTGACATCAAGAAAGAGTCTCCCCCACAATCCGCCCCATGGATAGGTAGAAAGGGAACGGGGAAATAAAGTAACTGCTCAGCAGGTCGTCATTCCTGTTGGACCATAACGGATGATGAATGAATGAATGAATGAATGCAAGGGCAGGGGGGGAAGAAACGCGGGGAGAGAGAGGGAGGGGGAAGAATTTCCCCCCTTCTCCTCATTCTGACAAGGAGCTAAACTAAGAGTAAATAATACCCGGGGATTTGTTGTATGCCTACCGGTCCTGTCTATTTTTTGCTTTCTCTGTGGATGGATGATCGTGATCATAAGGAAGAAGAAGAGGAGGAGGAGAAGGAGACAGAAGCCGAAGTCTTGCCCTTCTTCCCCGCAGTTTTCTTATTTGTATTAATAGGATTCTATTAGTGATAATAATAATAATTTAATATGAACTATGGCTCGGGTCAGGCCATCCGTCATGTTTCTGTCTGTCATACTAAAAGACTGACTGTTCTGCTCACTTTTCTCCTTAGGTCACGCGAGGTGTGCCCTTTTGGTCATTCACTGCACGCGGTTCTGGTCCTTCTCTTTTTTTCCGTCCTGAGGATTTCGTTCTTTTGTTTTTCTTTTTCTTTTTCGTTTTCGCTTTGGTTTTGTGCTGGCATTTCTGCTTGTGTTGATGTGAGCACGAAGCGTGTTTCTGGATTGATCGTTGGCTTCATGTATGTATATCTCTCTCTCTTTCATCTTCTACTACTTACTATCGATCAGCCCTTTTGGGGGAGAGTTATGTTGCTCCACTTACGCTCCCCGGTTACGGAAGTGCCCCAGAACTAACCAATACTCCACGAGACAGTGAGCCAAAGCCAGACCCGCGAGCAACGGGGAAAGCGACAAAAGAACGAGGGAAGTTCTGGTGCAGAGTATAACTGTTGATCAACAAGAAACAAATAACCGACGAGCGAACGAGCAGAAATTCATCATAATTCACGGTGCAGATACAAATGGTACGAATGAAAGACATTATTTGAAAAGTACTGGCTAAGTAAACTAACAGAGCAAGCGTTAAGTTAGTACCCGGCAGCAGCAGCAGCCATGACTGACGCATCGTTTCCCCCTTCCGGTGGAGCTCCACGAGCAGCTGCTGCTCTCACTACCTCAACTACCACTGCCTCCACTACTGCCACCTCCTCCTCCTCCACTCCTTCGACTTACAACTACTACTCCAACGTCCCCAGTATCTCCTCCATCCCCCGTCGGTCTTCTTACGCTTCAGTGCTGTCGGGGACCGCCGCTCTCTCCCCTCCCACCTTTAGCAATCATCCTTTCTCGCCCTTCTCCCCCTCCCTCTCCACCTCCACCGCCTCGTATCCCCCGCCGCCGCCTTTCTCTTCCGACGCCCGCCTGCTGAGGCCATCCGCCGCCGTGGATGCCGAGATGCAAATGAACTCCTCATGGAGGTCGTCGCCCGGCGATTCCCTTCCTCCTTACTCTCGGAAGTTTGCCAACCTCGCCCGCTTTGACCCTTGCTATCACAACCCCGGTGCATTCACCGACTCGCCCACACCCTCCTTCACCCCCTCATATCTCCAAAACTCCCGCTATGTCTCCCGTCTCGATGCCGCCCGTCGGGCAAAGCTTGCAGCCCAGCGCGATGGCGCCATTCCCTCCTCCGCCTCGAATAACCTCTCCACCTCCTCCAGCCAGGCTAGCTTGCCCCGGATTGCACCCTCTCATCGGGGCATGACCTATGATATCATCGAAAGAGAACCCCCCAGCGACGACGACCATCTGCTACCCCTCCCCTCCCGATGGAGCGACGACGATAAATTCACCGGCCTGGAGCTTGGAAACGGAGGGTTAGAAGTCCGATACACTGGTCCGGTCAACAAGCATGAACATGAGGCTGCTGCCGTTCGGGCAGATAATCCCATGCCCCCGCAGTGCGGGATCTACTACTTTGAGATCACTATCTTATCCAAACCCAAAGAGGGGTACGCGGAGGCCACTCTATACCTGTATGGTTCATCAGATTGCTGACTGGGAACATAGCATGATCGGAATCGGATTCTCGAGCAAGAAAGCCTCGGTAGAACGACTGCCCGGATGGGAACAGGAATCATGGGCTTACCATGGCGATGATGGGAAGTCCTTCTTCGGAGAAAGTCAGGGGCAGGGACGACAGTACGGTCCGACGTTTGGGGCTAATGACACTGTGGGATGTGGTGTGAATTTCTCCACGGGATGTGCTTTCTTCACCAAGAATGGCGTGTTCTTAGGTACCTCCATGCTGGCTGCCTCACAATGGCGAGAGTATTACCTCAGCTAACCACGACCAGGAAATGCATTCCGGGAATTACGAAACCTAAAGGTCTACCCGTCGGTGGGCATGAAGAAGCAACCGCCCGTCCACTTGGTAGTGAACTTTGGGCAGCAGCCCTTCATGTTTGATATCGATGACATGGTCAAGGTAAGCCAACCCACGCACTATTCTTGTTTGAGTTGTAAGGTAGCTAATAGTTCCGGACAGAAAGAAAAGTCCTTGATCCATTCGAAGATTGCTCTGACCAGCACGGCCAATCTGCAACCCCCGTTGGATGAATCGGGCCTGCTGCAGGAGTTGGTGGCGCAGTTTCTTGCTCATGACGGCTACGTCGAGACCGCCCGCGCGTTTGCCGAAGAGGTAGCGGCAGAGTCGACGGCGTTGGAGAACGGTCGACAGGCACCGTTGAAGAAGTATGAGGTGGAGGAAGATGTTGAGGCCATCAACCGGCAGAGTATGACTGTCTACACCCTTGTAGTTGTTTTTTCCTTGTACTAATTGGCGACAGAGATCCGCGCGGCTATTTTGGAAGGCGATATCGACAAGGCACTCAAGTATACTAATGCCTACTACGCAAACGTATTGCAGACCTACCCGCAGATCCACTTCAAGCTACGATGCCGCAAATTCCTGGAGATGATGCGTCGGTGCAACGAGTCGTCGCCGTCGCCGTCGAAGCGCGGCAAGTCGTCGAATGGGCTGTCAGACAGCAGCGCAGTGTTTGACCAGGAGATGGAGTTGGACGAGCAGCTACAGGAAGGCGATGGCTACGAGGCGGACGGCATGGACATGGAGGAGACGGAGAGCACAGCGCGATCGAACGAGCTACTCACGGAGGCGGTGCAGTACGGGCAGCAATTGTTCCTGGACTATCCACCAGAGGAGCGGGGTGGGGATCGGAAGATGCTGGACGACATCTTTTCCCTAGTGGCCTACCAAGACGCGCGACGGTCAGTGCATGGCCACTACCTGGACCCTGCGGGACGAATTGCCGTGGCGGAAGAGTTGAACTCGGCCATTCTCGGTATGTTAATTGTAAATCTACTGATAACAGTACAATTACTAATGGAAAGCAGTGTCGCTGGGTAAATCCTCATCGGCCGCGCTGGAGCGACTTTACCAACAGACCGAAGTGCTGGTGAACGAGATTAGCGAGGAGGGCGGCGCCGGGGCGTTTATTAATGTGCGTAATGACTTTCTACTTTGAGCGGGCGATCTGGGTACTTCTCGGGAGTATTTTATGTGAACGGTTCGATTACATGTGGCATGTGAAGAAAGACTGTGTATCTGCATCTCATGATGGATTGATTGCAGCAGGGGTTTGAGTTCTTTGGGGGGCGAGTGGCTATGCCTTTTTCCTTTCTCTCCCTTCCGAGGGGAAGAAGGGGAGAAAAAAAAAGGCGCTGTAGGTAGTAGTACATACGACAGCAGACAGTGTAGGGAATAGCGGAATATGCAAATGCACACCGGTCCACTCTCTGGGCTTTCCGATGAAGAAGAAGACGAGGCTGATGTTGATGATGAAACGAGCCAGGAGAGGATGGAAATGGGCGACCGGATGGAGCAGTGGATGGAGACAGGACCAGCTGGCACGGGATGCTGCATCCATCAGGCACCGACCAGCCTCCCTGGTTTGCCTTGCTTGCTTCTGCTTTGCTGCGTATCATTTTCATCGGGGAGTGGAGTCTGTTCCGGATCAGATCGGGGGAGGGAACAAACAGTTGTCAGTGCATTATTCAGGAATGAGTTATTTTTATCTTCATGTGAGTATCGAGGGAAAATTTCCAATTTCTCCCATATGTTGATACTCATAGTAGATGATTGTTGTAGATTGAAACTACTGACGGATGAGAGTTGTTGTCAGCCTGTACTGTCCGTAATGGCAGTACCGATAAACTTCGCTGCCGTGGGTAACTTTTCCCCGATCGAGCCAATCAGCTGCCCTAAATCAGCTGTCCGCCTTGATTACATCTTTTTGTGTTTTGTTCGACATCATCGACTGGGCGAAATGCATTATTTACGCTTTACTTCTTCTTCTGCCAGTGAAACTCATTCCATTCCATCAATTCAACCCAATTCTTTCCCCCGGTCGTGCATGTCGGCCATTGGACCTGCAGGATTCGGTCTCTGCATTCTTCCTAGGCCCGACAAGGCCCTTTCTTGCCTCGGATTCTTTTCCTCCTTTTCCCCCTAATCATAATTAGTTAACGTTAACGAAGTTAGTGACTGGTTTGTGTCTGAAGCAAAGACACCATCTCCACTTCAGCGCCTAAAATTAATCTCTCACAACTCTCCTCTATCTCTCTCACTGACTGCCTCTCTGGTCTCTCGATGAACTGGCGTCTCCAGTCCAGCTCATCGCTCCGACTAGTAGGGGTGCCAACTCACCTTCTGCCTCAACTTCCTCCACCTGTTCCGAAGAATCCTGCTGCTACTGCCGCTGCTACTTTCCCTCCCAGCCATGGATTCCGATCCACCAGCCGCTAATCATTTGCCCTGCATTCCCTCCCACGCGGCCACCAGTTCCTCTTCTGCCTTTCCCCGTTGCTGCTGTGGCCGCGATGACTGCGCATTCCTGCTCCATAATCATGTCGCCTTGGAGGGGCTCGAAAAGGATTTGGCAACTGCCGCGAGGCTGGGCCAGGTACGTTAGTTAGTCTATTATTTTCCTTTTTTCTTACTTTTTTCCGTCTCTTACACTTTCCTTCTCCCCGTGCTTTTCCGTCGGTGGATTAATTGCATTATTCATTCGCATTTTAAACTTCGCTCGTTGGATGGTTCGCCGACGTCACCCTGGTTTTCCCGGCCGCGGGGGAGTTGCTGGTCGTACAACCGGCCTCTTACCTCCCTGCTGTATAAGGATGACCGGCCAGGGATCTTGCCTTGCTTTGGTTTCTCGTTTCTGCATGTCTGTCCATTGGCTTTTATTTAACCGTTTCATCGTGTTGCGTGACGCCCCTCTATATCTATATCTATCTATCTATATCCTTTATACTCTCTCTCCTGTATACCCGCCCACCCACATACTTCTGTCGGGCTGCACATACTTCTTGTCTACCCGCACATTTTTGTTACCTTTTTTGGATGGATCGGTGCCCACCGTTGGAATTTGATCATCGCTCGGGCTCGCGAAGATGAATGCAATAGATTGCAATCGATCGGGAGATGCCTTCGTGGCTTCCTCGCCGCCATCATCACCATCATCCTCCATGCTGGCGTCGTCCCCAGTACTCTCCCATTGCGTTTTTGTCCGTCATGACTGTTTTTCCAGATAAAGCTGCCATGGCGGCAGCCACTAGCAGCTCATCATCGCTAACCTTTGCTCTCCAGGCTCTACTCCACCGTCATGAATCCTATATGGCCGAGGCGGAAGAGGACCGCCATCGGTTACTCGTCAGCATCGAGAATTTGGAACGCGAAAAGCGGGAAGTTCAAGCTGAGAATGCCCGCATCGTTGAAGACAATCGCGGCCTGCTAGAACAGCTCGATGGCCTCAACAAGGCCGTCGCCGAGTCTGACTCCCACTCCAAGTCGCTGGAGACCCGCCTCGAGAGCACCGAGGCGGAGCTGCGCAAACTCACGCACTCGGCGGCTCGCGCCGCCGATCTCGAAGCGCAACTGGCGCAAATGGAAGCGGAACAATCCAAGCTGCAGGAGAGCTTGCAGTCCGCACAGGAGGACTCCAAGTCGGCCGTCCAGCGATGGCGCCAAGCTGAATGTACCTTGCGGGACCTGCACGATCAGGTGGATCGCATCGAGAAGGAAGCCCGCAAGGAACGGGACCGACATGCGGAGCTGGTTCAACGCATGGAACGGCGGCGGACCGTGGAACGGGAGCTTGATGGCGCCGCTGGTCGACTGAAGGGTGCCGCAGCGGCCCAGGACTTGGGCCGTAATCGCGGCGGCGCAACGGTGGTATCCCGCTTCGTCCGAGATATCCTACAAGACAATGCCAACCTACAGATGGGGATCATGG